AAAAAAAAAAAAAAAAAAAAAACAGTATTTTGCTTTGTATTTCAGATAAAAATGTACAAGTAGAAAATGGAATTGTTTGTACAGCTTAGTAAATAGTTTGTTATTGGTTGTTTATTAATATCAACAAATAATGCAGCAAATTTTAAATGACAGGGATTAAAAGATTGTGATTTTCAATTATGTAATTTACTCTATTCTTATCTGGATACAGATGTTTGCTCAATGCAAAGAAATTATTACAATAGAGCAATGATTTCTTAAATATTAAAGAATTTTTCTTATTTTACAACCTTTAAATACAGTAGTTTAGTTTCCGTTTGTAAAAATCAACAACTGCTTAGTCAAGTTCATTAATTATACAGTATTAAATTTACACAGCGGTAATCATCAAAGGAATTCATTCTCACCATTTTATTGAAAATATATATTTGAATGTCGCAAACGGGAGTAAATGTGGTTTTGTAAATGAACAGTTATTTAAGGATTTTAATACAAGCTGTGAGTTTGAAATAGATACATGGAATACATATGAGGGAAATGGTGGTTTGATTTATAAAAACAAACAAATAACAATGGCAATAAAAACAAATACTATCTTGCATTTCTATTATTTATTAAGAAAAAGAAAATGTACTTGATAAGGCAGTTAAAGTGTTTAATTCCTTTTTCCTTTTCCTTTGTGTTTTCCTTTTATTCTTTTCCTGACTCCCATAGATTGTTCCGTATCATCTTCGTTGTCATCTTGACGCTTCTTTCGCTTACCTAACTTTTTATTATCCTCAATATCTTTCATTTCCTGAAATAACATGATAGTATTTATTACTATTATTATTATTATTAACACTACTATAATAATCAAGTAGGAACTAATTGCACTTACCATTTTCACAATACGTTGTACTTCAGATACTCTTTCTTGCAGCACCATTACTTCTTCTTCTTGTGTTGGATACAATGGCAATTGCTTTGATATCAATTGTTCTATTCTTTGATATAATTCTACGTCATACTGTGTTACAAACGTAATGGAACGACCAGAACGACCAGCACGTGCAGTACGTCCAACTCTATGTATATAATCTTTACTATGTGTAGGTATATCAAAATTTATTACAATATCTACATGTGGAATATCAAGACCCCTATACAGAAAAGAAAAATAAATAAATAAACAAACAAAAATATCGTAAATTAAAACTAATACTTCTGTAACTGAATAAATCAAGTATTATTTACCTGCTAGCAACATCTGTGGAAATAAGTATAGATCGATTTTTCGCTTTAAATTTAGTAAGAGCAGCTATTCTTTTATTCTGTGACATTTGTCCATGTAAAGGGACAGCAGTGAAACCCAAATTTCGCAAAAGGAGAGCAGTTCTAACTGTATTGTTGCAAGTTGCACAAAATATCATAAAACTATTACCTGCTAATTCATTCAAAATATGTACAAGATACACATCCTATAATATAAAACTTTATGGTGAAAACTGAAATCTTAAAATTAAAAATTAATACATTGGTAAGCAAATTTGCACCTTAAATTTAACAGGAATAAAGATATAGTATTGTTGTAATTTTTCAACAGTTTGATACTTTGTTGAAACTTCTACTTTAACAGGATTTTGCAAAGATGCACGTTGTAGTTTCTGTACTTTTTTTGTCATTGTTGCAGAAAATAGCAATGTTCTTCTTTCTCGTGGAATTACTCTTAAAATTTTATTTACTTCAATTTCAAAATCCATATTCAAAATACGATCTGCTTCATCCATGACCTTTTAAAATTGAAATGATAAGTATATGGACTTTTTTAGCATATACAATAAAAATATTATTACTGACCAAAAATTTTAAAGAACGTAAATTAAAACCTTTAGTGTTTTCCAAGTGGTCAACTAATCTACCTGGAGTAGCAATTAAAATATGTGGCTTTTTTGCTAACACTAATGCTTGAGACATCATGTCCATTCCACCTACTATTACTGCACATTTTACTCCAATACTTGATCCTATAATATAACATTATATAGAAAGATCATGAAATTTCATTATTATAAATTACTATATAATGATATATTTGTTACCTAAAGCTTCAAATTGTTCTGATATTTGAAAAGCTAATTCTCTGGTAGGTGTTAAAATTAAAGCAAAATATCTTTGAGGATTCTCTAAGAGTGCTTGTAATATAGGAAGAGCAAATGCAGCAGTTTTTCCAGAACCAGTTTCTGCCAATCCTATTATGTCTTTACCTAGTAAATTTTTTATTCAGTTACATGAAATATTATTTAATTTTTTATTGTTTGTATGTATATATATATCCTTTTCGATTTACCTGCAAGTGTTAATGGGATAGCTTCACGCTGAATTTTTGTAGGCGATTTCCATTTCAGATCTTCACATGCTTTGCATAATGCATCCACAATACCCTACAAATATTTATAAATAACATTTACTTGCAATTCATCTATATTTTTTCAAAATATATTTTAAAATGTTTACTAATGAATATGAGATACCGAATATTTATTAATAGTAATTGTAATTTTATAGAATATACTCAAAATATCATAGAAAGGAGAAAAAGGTTTTAAAATATATAAAATAGATAAAGTATATATATATATATTAGCGTTAAATGATAACATAAGATAATAGGAAAGAAGGTAAAAATATATTTTGTATAAAAATGTCAAAAGTATTAAATTAAAATAAATATAGTACATTTAAGTATATTTTAGTATTATTTTTATATTAGATTTACAAAAATTTTGAAATTGTTATATCGCCATAAGCATTTTCGAAATATATAATATAACCTAATTTCTAAACTCTTTTATTTATATTTTGTATATATTTTGTTTATATAAGTGAAATGTATTTATTTATAATCATTCAAAAAATATATATTTCATTAGATTATTATATTAAGTATAAAGTATATTTATTTAAAAAATATATACGAAATACCTTTTTCATTTTACGTAAGTTAGGTTATATTAGGTTAATAAACATTTTTAAACTTACCAAATCTTGCCAAGTTATTTCCTTTATATTTTCTTCATTTTCAGGTTTTATTAAATTATTTTCTTCCATTCTTCAATTATTAATATACAAAGATTTTAATTTAATATATATCTCATACTTTTCTCTTCAATTACAAGTTCGTAAAGATTAAAGTTAAGACATTAATCTGCTTATAGGTTACAACCTAAGTTGACTGATAAAATATTGTAATTACAATATAGGAAAATCTACTACTATGAAATAACAAATAAATAACAATATGAAAAAATATAAATATTTGAACGCAATATTTACGATATTTCAATATTTATCTAAATGTGATTGCTTATTTAAAAATTAAAAAAAAATTTAAAATTTAAAAAACATACAAATCCTTATTAATTGATTTAGTATGTATTTAATAAATACTACACACTTAAAAAAAAATATATATATATCAAAATTGAATATTTTATTAAAATTGTAGCATGTCTCTTACAAATATTTGTTAATAAAAGAAAAGTAAGAAAATTTTTTACATTTTTATTTGAGAAAATAAATAAAATAAAATATACAATGTTTAAACGTTTATTTGTTTCTTACGGTTATGAAGTACAGCACATACAGTTATTAGATACGTGCTTAAATATTAAACATTCAGTATAATACGTATTCAGAGAGACTATAATATATACATTATAAGTGACATTAAAATATAAGATTAGATAAATTATGAAATTTTTCTCTTAATATGATATTTATTAACATATACTAATATTTATATTTTTAGTGATTTTAATTTTTATGATTCAATGATTTTTATTTATTATCCGATTTAATTTTTAAGGAGAACTTAGTTAAAGTAGAACTTTAATTACTGTGTAACTAAACAAAATTAATAAAAAATGAAGATTATTATATAAAATATAAACATATTATTTTTATAATTAAAGTAATTTTTATAAACATTTCTACAAGATGCACAATATTTTTATGTATTTTGATAAAAGTAAAATTATTAATTCTTTTTTTGTTTATATAATGTATTGTTATAAATCATTTCAATATTTTTCTTTCAAGTATATTATTATGCTTGTTTTGGTACTTGCTACCATGTAATAAAAGTAGAAGAAATTAGTTTATTTAGAGTTCTAGATTGTATATATCATGTTAAATGGAAGCAAAATAAAAAAGGGAGAAAATAACGAAGGATGAATAAAAGGAAGTTGAATATGATTCGATTTGAAGCTAATAAATATATATGTACTTTAGTACAAGAGATCATAAACAAGTTTATATTTGAGATGAGATACATCTGAGAATTTTGGGTTGATATGAAACCCTCTGATGGCGAATACAAAAAGCTCACTTCACTTTATATTTAATTGTTATATCTTTTTCAGTTAAATTAAAACACAATTTTTCCTTTTTTGATTATTCTATTAATATTAATTGATTGAATTTTAGATTCATTCTAAATTTTATTAAGAACACAATTTGCGCAAAATTTACAAAACTAGTATTATTAGTATTTTGATCTTCTTGACAACGTAAAACGGAAAACATTATCTTTTTGCGATTAAAATTTGATAAGTTAATTTAGAAAAATTGAAAATTGAAAAAATTATTCATTGAAAAAATTATGATCACTATATCATTTTCACATAGTATAATTTTTATTGACAAAATAAATTAAGTTATTTATCAAGAATGAAGTTTATTTACTTTATATTAAATTTAAATTATATCTTTTCTCGTTATGTAACGTAGAGTCTGCGTACAAAGAAATTATAGATATCATCGCAAGTGGCGCTGTTGTATTTTTCGGGCTGTAATGGCGGTTACGGTTTATCGTGTGTTTCGTAATGTTTGTTTAAAAAGAGTTCCTTGAAAATTCTGTCTGTTACATTTATTCACTGAGTTTTGTGCATGAACGTAACCAGCGGTAGTGATGTCCTCGCTTACATTTTCACAAAAGCTGTTGACACCCATACCTCCAGAGAAGGGTAGTTTTCCACTCGACCATGAGGGTGCCTGTAAAATAGTCATGATTAAGTATATGCGTTGTTTAATCAACAATAACTATGAAGCTACGATGTGTCGGGATCTCTCAAAGGAATATCTTGATTGTCGAATGAATAATGAGCTAATGGCGCAAGAAGAATGGTCCAATCTTGGTTTCTCTGATGAGGTCAAGAAGACATAACAGAAACGATTTATTACTAATCGATTGCCGCGACATCGTAGATCGTCGCTCTTATCGTTTGACTGGTATTTATGAACTTTTGTGCTGGTCATTCTTGTTTCATCTGGGAAAGAAACTTCTACGAATTTAGAACGCATTTACAAATTTGTAGCGACATATATAACTTATGTATGTATTCCATGAATTAAAAGTAATATATATGTATGCATTTATTCAAAATGATTTGTAAATCATGATTCGACATTATTAGTAGAGAATTTGTTTTAATATGCAGTTAAATTAAAGTGATTTCAGTGCAGTAAAGAGACTTCAATGTACATTATTAAACATTAAAAATAAGTTGTTAGGAACAATATAGAAATTTAAAAAGAAGAGAAATCATTATCAATCTCCATTTACTGTAGTTTTTTGTTCATTGAGGTAATCTAGGCATTGTGCATCAGATGGCCTAAAATATAGAGGTACATCTTTTATTGTTATTGTAAGGGTTAAGCTTATTCTGTCACTGATAGAACAGAATTAAGTTTTATGTAATAAGAAATAGTAGATAACAAATTATTAGAAAGAAAGGCAAACAAATCTGTTAAAATGGCATGTACCTTTAGGAAGAAGGTTTTAATTGGATGTACTGGTAGTGTTGCAACAATTAAATTACCACATTTAGTAGAAAAGTTGTGGCAAAATAATTTGGAAGTAAGAGTAGTGGTTACTGAAAAAGCCAAGCATTTCTTAAAAGAAGCAGAACTGCCTCCAGGAATTCAAGTACTATCCGATACAGTAGAATGGGCTGCTTGGCAAGATAGAGGTGATCCAGTGTTACATATTGATTTAGTGAAATGGGCAGATTTATTTTTAATTGCTCCATTAGATGCTAATACTCTTGGAAAAATAGCCAGCGGTATATGCGATAATATATTAACTTGTGTTGCACGTGCCTGGGACCCTTTGAAGCCCCTAATTTTTTGTCCTGCCATGAATACAAAAATGTGGGAACATCCTGTTACTGCACCACAGGTATATGTTTTGATATACAATTATTATTATATATATGTACATTAGTTTTTATTGCATATTATTTGTATTATAGCAAATAATTTAAATTAATAGAAAATTGATTTAATATTAAATGTAATTAATGTAATTCTTAAATGAATTGTTATAATAAAAATTATTTAGTTTCCTAATTAGATTGAACATGATAAACAATTTAAAGAGTATGAAAGTTTTTAATACTTTGCAAAAAAAGTATAACATATTTTGATAAAATTTATTAAATACAAATCTATAGTATTATGCAATTTATAGTATTATTTGATTATTCTTCTTTTTTAGGTAGCTCTGTTGAAGTCTTGGGGATACAAAGAAGTAACATGCATTTCTAAAACTCTTATGTGTGGTGATGTAGGAATAGGTGGAATGGCAGAGGTAGACACTATTGTTCAAACAACGTTAAGATTGCTTAACCCTTGGGACCCATATTCGCCACCGGATTTACGTCTTTAGCATGAGGAAGTAAAAATAAATTGTTCAACGAAATTTTATTATAATACAAATAAAATGTGAAATATCTTACGAAAAAAGAAAATTAAATGTAAAAGAAAATCGCGTACTATAGTGGAATTCAAATAATTTATGCTCATAGTGAAATTCGAGTTCAATGACAAGTTTTAACTTGTAAGATTACGCTTTCTCGAATGCACTGTAGTCGCGATATTTTGTTGCTCAAATGGAACGTCTAAAACAGTTACGTTAAAGGAGGTGAGCAAAGCGAAGCCCGTTTGTCCACTCGCCAAAGTAAAATGTAAAAATTGTAAAGAAATTCTGTTAACATATCCTTTAAAGTTTACCCAATAAATAAATGTGTACATGTTTTTGTTAAATATATGAGTTAAATAATAATGAAACTTCCTTGATCTTTTTTCTTTCTTTTTAAGTAGAAATTTATTTTAATAGATTATTTACTAGGGGAAAATATGGAAGGATCTTTAAGAAATTTGAAAACAAGACGCATATTTCAGTATTTCTTGTACTAGAAAAAAGGAATATTTTGAATAGGTAAAGAAAATCACAAATTAGGATAAGTCATCGTTTATTATTAAAATTCTTCATCAAAATTATTTAAAAATTACTTTATTAAAATTACTTTATGTATAATCAGTATAAGGGAAGTGTTAAAATTTAGTCGTGTGTAGATTAGAGCATGTATACATATACGCACTCACATTTATACGCGACTTTACATAAATATCACAGTTTACAAATATTTATTAAAATATGCTATAAAAAATATCCCGAGGAAAAGAGTTGATCGTGTCGATGCGTTGCTCGAGGCCATGATTTTCGATTTTCTTGGATAATCTTCAACATCGTTGGTTTCTAATTCTCGAGGACAATCCATCCAAACCGGTGCTGATAATCTTTGCTTTTCATGTGCAACCTTCATTGCCTGATCATCGAATTCCCAGAAGCCTTTTCCTTTGAAAAAGTACGTTTTGCCTAAAAAATATATTAAAATACGATAAATAATATTTTATTATTTACTGATTTTATATATTGAAAGGGATAATATGTAAATACTCACCGTTTTTCCACTGGAAAACAGCGTCAATATCGTTTTCAATACCAGCGAATATACTTATATTCCTTGGGTAGTCAAGTTCTACGTGGTTTATAGATTCATCAAAACTGTGTGAATATTATTATCGTTAATAGAAATCATAAAAATACTACATGTATAATTAATTTAAAAATTTAATTATCTCGAAAATAAAAGAGCTAAATATTAAATAATTTTTTTTGTTATATAAAAATTATAAATTTATATTTCGAAATTAAATATTATACGAATTTATTGATCTTATTCAATTATTTTGAAAATTATTTTATAAATTATTCATGTAGTTATTGTACGTATAACATGATTAAGTAAATTAATAATGGTGATTTACTGCAAACAATATCAGCTCCTTTCTTTTAACATACATTTCCTTAATCCTATTACAAATGAATTTTTTTATTTTGTATTTTAATATTTTATGAAACGATATCTGTTTCATATCTTATTAATATTAATATATAAAACGAGTATTAAAATTTTCATACAAGTGTCATATTCACGAGACATCATGCAAGTATCGATACCTTTATATATAGCATCAAACGTGTATCGATATTTTATAGAGGTATCAAACAGATTCGATACTTTCGTGAAGTATCGAATAAATATCGATACTTGTCATACTTATGTCTTTGATTATTCAATAGGGTATCATAATTTTTAATCTGGTATCGAGAATTATCGATTAAATACAGATTATTACTGTAGAGAATTCGGAAGAAGTCAATCGGGATCATCGCAGGTAAAAATATTACATGTTCTTTTTCTTTGTCATACAGTGCCTGAGTGTTTCAGGTTAGTGGTTGTACATGTTGGCCAATGAGAAGAATTTGTGTGTGCTTGTCTTTATGCGTGTATGCGATTAGGCCAATTTACTGACCGGTGCCGATCACAGCCGACTGACTTCCTCCAAGCTGCCTACAGTACATAACCTAGAAAAGTAGTTAAATCTGATATTTTATAATATTAATAGTTTTTGTTCAATACCTCCAATACACAGATCCACTAAAGAAATAAGTTTTTCCATTGTGACCCCAAATCATTGCTCCATCAACTTTTTCCAATGATTCTGGCAATCCCAATCTTGTTAATGGTTTTGGATAACCCGGTTCGAGATTGTTGGCGTTGAAAACGTAGTACTTTTTGCCAATAAAAAATACTATTTTCTTATCTGGCCTCTCATAAACTGCGTCCACGTGGTCGATATCCTCAGGTAAATGAAACAGGCGTGTGATTTCCGCTGGATATCCCTCATATAATCCTTGATCGCCGATTCTCCATAAATACTAAAAAAAATGTAAATATTAGTATAAACTTGAAGCTATTAATTATTATATTCTCTAATTTTTACTAGTCTATCATACATCTTATTCGTCATTTTTAAAAATAAAATACTTGTTTTATTTGCAAAATATTATACTTTTTATCTGAAATATGAGAACTTTTCATTAAGAAAAAGTATCGTGCCAAGTTTTAATAGGACTTTTTGCTTCACAAAATCGTTTCAGTTCTATTTTTGGTATTCTGTTTTATATTATATTTTTAAATAAGCTATTTAACGCAAAAATTAACAATCGAATAAATTCAATTATCGAGTTATATTCATTGTTAATTTCTTGTTTTACTAGATACTCGCTAAAACATAAATTAAGATATAAAATACTTCTAACCATTAAATATTAAACACATTTTAACGCGTTTGATGTTACGCGGTTTACGTAGAACGTGTAATTGTATGGAGTACGTTATGTCTTCACTTGTGCATATGAAATATAGTAAATAAACAAATCAAGCATATTATATAACGCGTTACATACGATTTATAAACTATTCAAAGTACATCTGAATTTCTTTATGCGATTACAAAATAAAAAGATCATAGCTTTTATGGTACATGTAATATACTTCCATGGTGTATTACACATGTACAGGATGTCCCAGATCTCAATTGACAGACTTTATTAGCGTGTTTGGCAAGTTATACAGGATAAAATATGTTATATCTATTATGGATCGATTCGTATTCGCTTTCGATTTTTTATTTTTTTAAAACTGATAGTAAATGCTTTATTTTGAGTGGAGTGTACAGTTCGCCTATATATGTATATATAAGCCGTTCAATGCACAAATCGATTAACTTCACTTTTTGAAAAATCTTAAATATAAAAAGTTATGACTATACCAAGTGCTCTGACACTTAAATTAAAGATTTTTCAAAAAGTGAGGTTAATCGATTTGTGCAGTGAACGGCTCATATAGTAAAGAATGCTTAATAAAATTATAAAATGGTAATTAATAAAAATAGATAGTTAATAAAAATAAAAATTAATAATTAATTTTAAACAATTAAAATTCAACATAGTAATCAATAGAAATTATATATATCCATTTGCAAAAATATTTTTGAATCACAACAATAAGTAGTTCAGGAATTTATTGGGTATAATAGATTAAATCTTAAAAAATGTGAATTTTAATATTAAATATTTATGTGTGTAGAAATGAATAATAACGCTGATTAATATATTTATTTATCAATGAAATGTAATAATAAATATTGAAAATAAAAACAAAGTCTGCCTGTCTAGGGTACTGAAAAAATTTTATAATATTTGTAGAAAAATTACTGAGAGCACATAATAGCATATTTTATATATTCAATTATTTATATCATATGTTAGTCCGGTTCTTATCTATAAAATAAATTAATGAATTTTAGAACGGAGATTCTAGAACATCCTGTATTTTTATCTTTATTTATTCCAAATGCAAAAATTTGACGTGAAAGTAAATTATACAGACAATGTAAATTGGAAATTCGATATTCAGCCACGGTATTATACCATTAATAAGGCCAGGACGATTTTCATATTTTATATGCAATATAAAATTTCAATTTCAATTTCATATTTTACATAAACATATTCGTTTCCCAACAGCATAAATTCCAGAAGGTCATTCTCATAAAGTCTACAATATTTACATTTGGAAATAATATTGAACAAGTAATATAGAGATAGTATCTACATAATATAATTTGTATTATATATATGTATACGATATTTCTATAAATATTTAAATAGATATTCACATGTTACTAATCATATGCACATATTGCAAAGAGGTCATTATTCTATATAAAATTCGGAAGATCAGCGTCAAGATGTTTCGAAATACTGATTTGAAAAAAAGGAGTAAAAAAAGAATGGATTTAAAATTCTATTTCCTATTTGTTATATAGCGAATCATTTTCATTTTAGTTAGTTAACTGTTACAGGGTTGTATAAAAGACGTATAAAGTTTTCTAAAATCTTCATTGCACGTCATTCTGTCTCTTTTGTGAGACTCTTTATTCGTTTCTGGTGCGTCAGAACGTCGACGTTCAGAATTATGCTTTCCTCTAAGCAATTTTATGATTCAATTTCATTTTTCGCTAGAATTTTTATTATATATCGTTTGAAGATTTGTGTGATAAAGGGGTTCATTGTGAGAGGAATCTTTAATTTTGATGGTGTCTCCCTGCATCGAAATCTATTTTGCTTCGAGGAAAATTGATAAGTTGAATGGATCCTCGAAGATAAGCTGAATGATGCAATGGGCTGGTGTCATGGAGCGGTATGGGAACCTTGATGTCACAGGAAAAATGGTTGAAATCAAACAACTTCCGATGACAATGAAGTATTGAGTTTGAACGTTTGTTCAACTATGTCGAATTGTTCGGATGATAGAAAGAGTCGAAATATTAAGTGTTCGTACCTAGTGAAAATTAAATATTGGGAAGGATATCGATGATTTTCGGATAGAGGAGGTTAGGTTTGACATTAGGATTCTTGGAGACTATCACACTGACGGGTTCGAAGGGCGATACTTTTCCGCAGTCCACCATGCTGTACGGATTACAAAAAACCTCGAATCCCCGTTTATTTTATACCATCAAGAAATTAAAAATATAACTAAGAATAGAAGTTCTTGTTGAATATTATTATCCCCTTTACCACATTTGTTTATTTCTTTTGATCTTGAAAATGACCATAAACAAAATATAATAGTTACGAACTACCATTTGTAATTAGTTGCTCCCCATTTTGTATATTATATGATTTAACAAATAAGAACATAAAATTTTCTAAATCTTTCATGTTCTCTTATTTTTCCATTGCTGCTTTTATTTTACCCGCATCACTTTTAAAGAATTAATTAATTTTTGATTTTACTTGGCAATTTGATATTGCATAGTAATTTTTACACGTAGTTAAATTTCATTTTGATAATATATTTTCATTTCAACGTTTTAAATTTTCAGAAGCTACAAGAAAAAAATTCAATTCTATTAAAGGGGACTAAATAGAAAATAATATTATATTATAAGTATATTATAAGTATATTAATATTTATATCTAAGTGTATTTATAATATCTTATATTATAAATATAATATTATGCTTATTATTTAAAATTACTACGTGTAATTACTTATAATTACTTATAATACAAGTAATTGGTATATTTATAATTATTTATAATATAGGTAATTGGTGTTATAATATCGGTATACTTGTATTATAAAATATAGGGTATTATAATATACTTATAATATCTTATACGAAAATTAAGTATACCAAATAAATATACCAATAATAAGTATATCAAATAAGTATACCAATTATAAAAGCAATTGTAACGAGTCAGTTACAAAATTAGAGGTTAGGAATTACAACTGTCGATCTCGACAGTAAATACAGAGTCATCCCCACCATTTCTTGGAACTGTTTCAACCGAGCGAGCCCTGTATTATGGTTATGGCTATATTACGAACCTGAAACCGATTGTGTGACATCGTCAGGCAACAGTCGAATTTTTTTATTTTACTTTGCCTCATTGTCTCTCGCTCTCGCTAAGGAACGAGCGAAACGAAAACAAAATACAGGCTGTTCTCAGTTTCTCAGAACGATTTCTGTCGTTAATAGTGCGACACGGTCTCTCGAAGGCTACTCTACTCTGTTTAAAAATAATTGTATTTCTTAATGCCACAAAAAGGGAATTAAAACTATCATGGTAAGAGAAGTAAATAATATTTAACAAGAACTCCTATTCTTAGTTATCTTTTAAATTTCTTGATGGTATAAAATGGGGGCTCGAGATTTTCTGTTATGTGTGCAGTACGGTGGACAGTGCAGCACGGCACGGAAAAGTGTCGTCCTTTGAGCCCTCGTTTATTTTATACCATCAAGCTTAAAATATAACTAAGAATAGGAGTTCTTGTTGAATATTATTAAATCTTCTTACCACACTATATACAGTGGCTCGCGAAAGTGTTTGAACGCTACATTTCGAAAGAATTTTCTAACCTCAAAATTCTGATTTTAACGTAAATTTGGGTAAACGTAAAGAATAACCGAATTATACACGGAGTAAGTTTTTGAGAAATGACTTTTCGAAAGAATTTTCTAACCTCAAAATTCTGATTTTAACGTAAATTTGGGTAAACGTAAAGAATAACCGAATTATACACGGAGTAATTTTTTGAGAAATGACTTTCAGAAGGTAAAATCAACGATTAAAGTTTTAACAATTTTCTCGTTTCTCAAACGGGATGTGACAGGCCGAAATTTTTACTACAGGGTGATAAAGCGCAAGCAATTAAACATTTTGCATTTAAAAAGGTTTGCTCCACCTCACATTATTATACAGTTACATTTAAAAAATAGAGATCGGACTTAACCTTGAGTAATAATTTTAACTACGTAAAGTAATATTCGCAAATAAAAAGAATTCTGGCACGTTTTGTTTCACGTACACACATATTTTCATTAAAATTAGAATTTTTTAATTAGAGTTCGCCCTTAAAGTATGTACAGGGTCCGAATACTTTCGTGAGCCGATGTATATACAGGGTGGCGGATTTAAACAAGAACGTAAATATCTGCGCTATTTATCGTGAATATATGTGTCACATAAAAAAATTTTTTAGGTAAAATTCGCGTTACTTTGAAGGACATATGCGATGATAAAATAATTTTGGAAATTATGTAGATTACGATACATTTCACGAATTTCGATGATTTTTTTGGTACGTTGCAGAAATCGATATTTCGAATAATCTTCCAAATAAATTATCGATGCTCAAATTTTTTAAATTCAATTATTGTTCCTGTCTCTCTAAAGAGTAGATAAATGATAAGCGCATACTAATGCATCCCAGTTACGTGTATATAGACACAAAACGTGTATACATTTGCACTGTAATTCTACATTTTGAATCGGCAGAAACTCGTTAAAAAAGTTTGGCGCACATTTGTCCTTGACCGGCTTTTCCAAGGTCAAGCTCATTACGCCCGCATCGTGTTTTACTGACCGCGAAGAGCAAGTTTGCAACATGAACCTACCAATGTTCTTTTGGAAAATGAATTTAAAGCAACCATTTATAATAACAGTTATTTTCAAAATTTTTTGGGGAAAAAATCATTAAGTAAAAATTAATTTCAATTCAAATGGAAGTTATCGTTAAATCTCCCTGATTCGAAAGAAACTAAGATTCTATAGGGGTAGCATGTATCAAATAAGTCGTTCGAAATGTACATTTCAAAAACGTGTAAAAAATTCCTCGAAATCGACGTGGTGCATTCTAATTTACATAACTACCATAATTTTGTTCTAATAAGATTTCAGCACTTGCACGACTTCGCGTAGTTCCCGTTCAAAAGTCCCACCCTGTATACCTTCATCTGCTATGCATCGCGATACATTTGACACTTACTCGTCCTTTGAAGACAAAAGTTTCCCTGCGAATAATGCTGATGGCATCGTAGCTGGTATCACACTTATCCGGTTTGTCGTTTCTGGGTGTCGGTGGTGTCCATCGATGCCTTGGCCTTTGCGTGATCGGTGTCCTCATGGTGGTGGTGGTGGTGGTGGTGGTGGTAGTGGTGGTAGTGGTGGTAGTGGTGGTGGTGGTAGTAGAGGTCGTGTGGTGTTTGTGAGGCTTGTGAGGCCTCTGAGGTCGATCCTCCGGCCTTTCCGGCCTCATCGGCCTCTCCGGCCTCTCCGTTCTGTAATCCGGCTTTTGAGGGTAGTGATCAGGGCGTCGAGGCCGGTCGTCGTTTGGATAGTGATTCGGCCTGGTTGGTCGTGTTCTCCATGGTCTGTAGGTCGTCCCAACGCTTGTCGTAGTTGTTCGAGGCGTTGTAGGTCGTTCCGGAGGCGCTGGACCACCTGGTAGATTCGCCCAAAGCCTTTCTTCGGGTGCACCTGTAACACGATCGCGTGTTCAATTAATATAGTAGTCCCATATAATACAGGGATGAAGAAATACTGCGCGGGGCAAAATGATAGCGTACTCCACGGTTTTCGATGCTTCTTTGCTAACTTCAAAGCGGTGTATCTCGGCAAACAAAAATCGTACAATTGTAAATCAAATTTTGCTTTACAGGGGAAGGTTAGTATTATGCGATACAGGTAGTAAGAACGTTGGAAAAAAATTACCGTCTTTGGAATATTTTTGGAAACATATAGCGAAAATCGATAGTTTTTACTTAATTATTTTTTAAATTGCGACGAGCAATTTTTGCTCCCAGATTTGGATTCACCGTATAGGAGCGTGTAAGAAATCTCTTTATTTCCAAAAAATAAAATCTCGTAGGATCACTCATCTTTCGCATGGAAAGGTTAAAAAGAAAAGCGTTAAAAGATATAATCATTACAGTCACTTTAAATCATTATATTAAAAATTTTTGGATATTAAGACTTAGCAAGCTGTAATTTTATAAATAATATAATTAATGTAATTACCGATTTTTTCGGTAATAATAAGCATATAACGAAATAACGAATACGAGAGGAATAAGTCATTAAGGTAGTAAAATATTCGATAAATGATGCCATAACTTGATTAATGAATATACATGAGCAGTTGGAACTGATTTGCACAGGTCGATATGACTGGAATGAAAGGCAAGATAAGTCGGTATCTTGTTGGAAACTTATGTAGTAACATAAAGGACCGTTGTCCTGTGAAGATGGTTCAGTTCTGACTTCGACTGCAATACTGCAGGCCGAAAGGAGAAAAATTTATTCCATATTTTACGATCAAATCAATTTATCGTGTCTTTCACGGCATTGCCCTTGAAGCAGGAGACGCCAATCGGCTGCGCCCTTAATACCAGACACAATTTGTATAAAATCGAATTACGTTATCTCTGGAGAAGTTTTCTTAAATATAATTCAGAATAAGAGAAAACGTAAATTAAAAGTTGCTTATACGTTTTTCGATTGCATAAATAAATTTCCTTCGATAAAATGTTCTTTCGTACAAAACCTCTTAGCTGATGTAAGTCCTTGAAATACCGTTTCGGCGGTATATTATTCGCATTGGGAAATATCAAATTGCCGACCTCATACCTTAAGTGAAACATGAAGCACATCGACGCTTGGTCACCATATATGCCAAGTACCAAGCGCGAGGGGCAATAATTCATCTCGTTTTCACGAAAACTCTTTGTATCCCTTACCCTTGCATCTCAAAATCGGTAATTTCATTATTCATATCAACTAACAGAAAAATACGTAGCCCTATCAAGGGTTCTTACAAACGCTAGACCTTGTAGTACGCGGTATAGAAACAGTATCAAGTCTTGCAGAACATACTCTGCGTTGCTGAAAAGAAGTCATCTGAGAAACTTGTAGGATCGAATCCCCACCAACCCAACCATTCTAAAACAGTATCAAATCTTGCAGAACATACTCTGCTGAAAAGAAGTCATCTGAGAAACTTGTAGGATCGAATCCCCACCAACCCAACCATTCTAAAATCATGGCAGAAGTAGATTAAAACGCTTCCCTTATTGATAGAACTGATCCCTTCCTATTAGCCCGGTCATAGAACATCATGTGACAAAGAAAGCGAAGAAAGCAACGAGACAAAGTGAGACAGACGCAAGAAATAGATGCAAGAGCGTAGACTCATCCCAAAAAGTATATTAACTTCAGATTCTTCCGATGAACACACGATTATTTGCAATTACTAATTACTAATTAGCATCTTGATTAATTTTTCATTGCCTTATGCAGCAAACGTGATGTACTATACGCATATCTTTTATATTTATGTTGTATCGTAAGATTTTTTTAAACGGTTACCTAGTATGATGCAATTATATAATTAATTTATCATAAAAAATACATCTTAAATTTTAAATCAATTTTCATAAATGATGTTAATTATTATTACTTTTGTACTTCTTTACTTTATAAATCTTTGAGCTATTGTTATCTGATTCCTTATCCGACTCACTGTTTTGTATTTCCAATTCTAAGTCTTCAGTTTCGTCTTCTATTATTCCATCTTTCGTCCAATATTCGTGTTCCAGTGTTTCTATATGTTTACAAAATCTTTTCCAATCATTTGGTGTCGTTTCGTTTATTGCCTGGCGTAGTAGTGCTTCCAATTCATTGTAAGCTAACTCTGAGATAACATTTCTTTCGCGGATATCTTACACCTATGTTAACGTATCACGTTGCTGAACTTGGAAATAGTAGTTTTGGGAATGTCATAGAAGAGTGAGTATTACTAACGAGAGTGTAGGGGGTACTAGTGGAATACCCCTCTTGCCCCGCAACCGAACGAGATGACTTCTTTTCAGCAACGCAGAGTACTTAGAATCAAATCTACTGTCGAACAATATACACGCTCCCTCAATATTAAGACGCTGTGTCTAGCATACATAATAATAAGAAGAAATATACAGTCCACTAAATATTCAAAGATATACGGAATTTCCTCAGAGCCCGTCTTCCGTCACGAATCGTCGCCAAACAAGATTAACCTAGTGACAATATACAAATAGTGAGCATTTATTTTATGAAAAGCTATATATTTCCAGAAATTGTAGAAATAAAATATCCGAAACCTTATTTATATTTTTATTTATATCATTTATTATTATATATATTTAAAATATCGCCAAGACCTTTCATAATTGTGACTCAGCGATGATATGCGGCTAGGGTGATATTTATTGCACTAATCTTAATATTAAATATAATATATAATGTAATAAATAAAATATAATAATATAACGAATGTTGGTAGAGGCGTTGCAACGAAGTTGCCAGGCGCGCTAGACGTTGCAGGCCAGTAGCAATTTTTGGGTCTCAAAGGCCTTGGCTATTATGTTGTCGAGGGGTTGTCTGCCGGATTTGAGTTTAAAAGGCTTTCCGTTTTCTGGAATTGCTCTGTTCTAAACCCGAAGCAGTATAGAGCACATAAGTCGTTACAACCCTTGCGGTTACCTACATCCTTTGTTTGTATTTCCATAAGTGTACATTTCACTAATAATAAATTTTATATACTGTTCACTATATAACTGTATACGATTAGTTTCCTGCGAATTACAATAAACTCTCCGTAATTTCAAGAAATCATAACAATGAAATATAATGTAATATCAATTATATACGAATATTATATATACAGGTAACCCTCCTATAACACGGTAGATAGGTTCCTAGAAAATGTTGTGTTATGTGAAATCCTGTTATATGAGATCTAGAACCAGTACAAAAAGAGAATTTACGTTTCGAAAACTTACTAAAAACAAATTCTTTTCTTAACCCTTTGCACTCGGCGATTTTTTCTTCACAGAAAAATGTAATTCGAAGACTTTCTGCCATAAAGTCGACGATATTTTTAAAACGGCAAATCAGAAGTCGTATGCAAATTAAAACTAATTAAAATTATTTAAATTAAAATTATTTTGCTTCGATATTCCACACATCGGGTAATTGTAAATTTGATATATTAATTAACATCCATCTTTAGAATCTGATTAAATGGCGACTGAGAGGCACCTCTCGAGTGCAAAAACCTCTCGAATGCAAAAGGCTAATTCTACATAAACAACTTAATTTTTATTAAAAATATAAATGTATGTACAACACAAAACAAAAAAAAAAAAACAAAAATATTATTTTAATATAATGCAATTTTAATTTAATAAATTTCTTCGTCGTCACTGTACATGTAGAAGTACAGTGTTGTACAAAAGTTTTTGCAATTTTCTTATCTTATTATCGTTCTATGTTAGAGCGAAACCGTGTTATAGGATGCCGTGTTGTAGGAGGGTTCCCGCAATTTATGAATCGTCTTATAGGATGCCGTGTTGTAGAAGAGCTACTTGTATTTATTGTAATATATTTGTATAATATATATGATGTTGGATTTACATATATAATATATATACAGTATGTTTTATTTAAATTGAACATGTAAATTATATTTGTTGTTATCGAAGGTACGAGAGAAAGATTATTATGAAATATTGTCTTGTTGATTGCAACATCATATTATTAAAGATAGGTAGCAAAATGTAAAAAAATGTTAGTGACCTTGAAATGTCCTTTAGAAGGATCTTAACACTAAACGTACCGGTACTTTGCACCTACCTATTCTTACCATGGGGGGTCATTTGACTTCTTATGAAATAAACGTTGATTTTCAGAAAGAAATTTCTAATTTATTAAAGGAAATAATTTGCCACATAATTTTTCATTTCTAATAAAATAATGCTGTTTTTTAATTATTGAATATACAGCTTGAAACTATTTTAAACACCCTTTACTTATCATTTTAAATTTTCAATAGCAGTGGAAATAATTTAGATTTTCAACTTCAGTGGACCAGGTATATAATAAATATAAAATTTTTATATTCGAAATTTCGTTTTCTAGAAAATCGACATTGAATATTCACCGAGTGTTCGTGCACTTAGTTATGGATTATATGGATTATATAATAATAGTTCATTAATACACGAATATCGGTGGTGTAATCTAGAAAGGGATGGATGATTCTACATGAAAAAACAAATCGAAAAGGAAGAATAAAATTTTTTGATTCAAAGCTTTGTTTTCGAGAAAACCGACTTTGAATATTCACTGAGTGTGCGTGTACTTAACTTTGGCTAAGGCGGATTGACCATCAGTATACCAGCGCACCCGAAGGATATTCAAAATCGATTTTCTCGACAACGAAGCTTCAACTGAAAAAATTTCATTCTTTTTCATCGACTTGTTTTTTCATGTAGAATCACATTCTCCTCGATTGCACCGCTGAATATGATGTATCGATGATCTATACATCTAAGCCATAGCTAAGTGCATGTGTACTCGATGAATATATAAAGTTGATTTTCTCGAAAACGAAGCTTCGAATGAAAAAATTTTATTCTTCCTTTTCGATTCGTTTCTACATG